TGTGTCGGGTAAATGAAACATATATTTTCTATCAACACTCTAAATAGTGAGAGACATGGAGATAAAGGATTACATGTACATGTACATATGTATATTTACTTTTGATTTTGGTCATACATGTAACTCAAAAATTTAATCAGAACCAGGTCAAACTTTTTACGTAGCATAAGGATATAATAAAATTTGGGGTGATTTTAAAGCCATTTTTCTGAAAAAAAAGATTGGCTATAGCCTTGGGTATTTTTCAGAATCTTGATAATTTCTTAAAATGGCCGTAATTTGAAAAATCAAAGTCAAAATCAGCTCAAACTTTCTACACAGCATAAGGACATCAATATGTAACAGAAATGTTGTGTAGAAAGTTTGAGCTGATTCCGACAAAAATTAGATTTTTAATGAATATTTTAAGTTTCTCCAAAACTGGGCCAAAATCCCTGTACTATAGTACATGGTCATTGGCCAAATTGATACTAATTTATCATTCTATAAAAATAAAGAATATTCATATACACATGTACATTAAAATATTTTAGAAGGTGAATTGAAAGCAATCAAATTCACAAGCTCATACAGTAATTCACAATAGAGCTCTTGCATGATGTACTCTCTCCTACCTTTCTCTAACCTGAAATGTCAACTGCAGAATTTATTCAGATTTTTTCTCCATTCCTTCCATTCCTCCATGTACATTCTTGCCACCCAACATGGCGGACAATTTAGCTCAAATTTAGCCACACCCTCCCATTGATTACATCAGTGCAAGAACTCTATGAGACGTAGATCTAATTAAATATGATAATAATAATAATAACCTACACCCACCACATAAACATTGGCTTACCAGATTTCGATAAAAGCTGAGAGAGAGAGAGAGAGAACAAAATTATCTCCTTGACTCGTGTGAATTATGTCTTTGGTCACTTCCTGGAATAAACTCTCTAGTACTTCTTCTCTTCCTTTCTCTGTTGCTTGTTCTCACTGGAGTGTCTCCAGCTAGTGAAGGACCTTCAAGAGAAGAAGACAAAGGTCACTTAATCTTCTCTTTCTGCCGCCATCTTTAAGGAATGCAATTAGGGAATGAGCCACGCCCTTATCCAGCCCCACCCTAACCTTTCTGCAAACTAAAAGTAAACAATGGCGACGAAGAGCAGCAACTATTCCTCTCCTCCTTCTCTCTTCTCTTCTCCTTTGACTATTGGTAGGTAATATTCATTATAAATACTAGATCTATAACATTTATTATTTAGAGCAACTTATTGATGTACTTAATTTGCTGAAGAGATGTGGTTTCCCTCAGATGAGATGGAAGGAACTAGGACTGACACTAGGACTACTCATGGACTCACTGGACGCTATTGCAGAAAACTACTCAAAAGTAGAAGATCGTTTTATTGAATGCATTGCCAGATGGTTGCGTAGAGCTGATGATGTTGACAGTAAAGGAGGAGCTACCTTTGACTCACTGTCAGATGCTCTTAAATCTATGAATGAGAATGCTGCAGCTGACAAGTTAGATCAAGAGAGTAAGTTAATATCACTGATTGTATTAGTATTGACTGTGTGTGTGTGTATTCTATAGAATGTAATGCTATGATCAGTGGTAATGATATCAAAGGAACCAATGATGTACACAGTACTGCTACTGGTGAGTGTTACATTACTGGACTAAAGTATACGCTGTTACCTGGCAATAATTGATTATTAAGAATAAATCATGATTCATAGATTAGTATACCATATACAGATATAATTAATAATTTTAAATGTATGAATAATATTATTTTATTCTTATGGGAAATAATAAAATTTTAATTTGGAAGCTATTGCAGCAATTTTTTTGCTTTTTATCAAAATTAGGACCAGTTCCTCCTACAGGTACAAACAAGCCATTAATAGGAGGTCCTCCACTCTCTCCTATTGCATTAATGGATATACCAGATGATAGACCAAAAGTATCTGAATTGATAGTGTTTGTACATTAAGTAAATTTATTGCTTATATTAACTTTTCCTGTTGCACATTGCCTTCCACTCTCTCTCTCTCTCTCTCTCTCTCTCTCTCTCTCTCTCTCTCTCTCTCTCTCTCTCTCTCTCTCTCCCCCTCTGAGCATATGTTTTACATGTACATGTCAATGCATAAATAATTCATTAAGTGCCAAACCAAAACC